TACTCGTATCTCTCTCTCTCTCTCTCTCTCTCTCTCTCTCTCTCTCTCTCTCTCTCTAGCTCGTAGGTGCAGTGGCATGTGATCATGAGGAAGAAACGAATGGAAGATAAACCCCTTTTTGCCTTTTTAGTAGCAGAAAATCGAATTGTCCCAAACCCCATTTTGGGTAAAAGGTAGAAGTTAGAACAAGTGAGAGAGAGCGAAACAAGGTAAAGTTACTAATTTTGAAGAGGGAAAAAAAAATAAAACCGCTTAAATGGGCTGGACCGGGCTTTGTTTGGGCTGGGAATGTGACATCTTCTGGTTTAGCAGCCAGCCTGGCCCGTTGGACAAAACAGGCCTTTCAAGGCCGGGCCATCCAATAAGCTATTTATTCTGTGTTGGCCCGGCCCGGGCCCCATTAGACGGCCCGTTATTAGGCCCGTTAGCAGTCCGAAACCAGGCCCGGGGCAGAAGCCCAAGACCCGGCCCTGTCCATTGGCAGCCCTACTCGGATGGAACGAAGTGAAGATAACAAGGGTAACAAGGGTATTACAACCAACAGAAAATGTATATTTTTGTTACAGTCACAAAAAGAGATATTCCCAGATATTCAGCTCTTTTTTAACAATAAACAAAAGCACAGGAAAGTGTTACCTCTAAATAAAATCGCCCATCAGGAAGTGGCTCGCATCTGATATAATTGGATACATGCAAAGGTTCAATGAGAATTTCCAGGAAGAGGAGTTCATAGACATAAAATAAAAGATCGACACTGCAAAAGAGCTTAGACATACTCACGGAATAATACTCACTCGCATATTTCGACTTCACAAGCATAATCAGCAATGGAACCTGTGGCAGAATCAATCCCAACCTGTAAAACAAATTGTAAGGCAGACAACGCAGAGAGAAAGTAGTTACATGGAGTACTAATCAGTACATGATAAGCAGAAGTATACCATTCCCATCCGGCGGTTTCCCTCCATTATCCTCCTTACCTATTTCAAAAATTCAATTACAAGATTAAATAACAGAAGTATAGTACTTCCATATATGAAGACGATGTGTTCCAGAATCACAGAAAACACAATAATGACATTAAATTGATAACATGGCATTTTTGTATACAGAAAATTTGTCATATTATAACAGACTACGAATATAATACACAGAAATAAAAAGGTGATGGACAAGGGAAAGCTGCGACCTTATGCAACTTTAGATAAAGCTACATAAGCCAAGGCACATGGAAAATACACTCAGTTTTCTCTAGTTCATGGAGAGGGTTTTCACTCTTTATGGACTAGTAGACCTGATTAAATCTACTGAAGGATTGCAGAATGCAAATTTATTTGAACATAAAGGAATCACATATAGGTATTGATCTATAAAAAGAGGTGGATGCTTCCTTATTTTCTTCTTTCAACTTATTAAAAGATAATCCAATGGATCTCAACTTCATCCTTGGTGATTCTTTAGTTCCTCAAGAACTGGAGGTAGCCAGTTATCTCCAATTACACCTCCAATTGTCCTTTTGTTTTAGCATCCAAAGTTTCAAGATAACAGACAAAACATGTGAAATAGAGAGCACATCTATCCTAGAGCAAGATGCATTGGTAAACATGAAATGAACAAAGAAACTTCACAATGTCTGGAAAAATTTACAACTTGAGACAAGGGCATCTAGCTCACCATCAGTCTGTAGCGAGGTTCAAAGATGTTGAGAGGTAACTTTTGGCATGGAAGCACCACATCCATGACAAAAAGAGGCATCAAATCAGCATCTAAATTTGTCAGGCTCTTATGCTCTGCCTTCCTCTCAGCAAACTCCTCTGGAAAATTCTTCTGTATTATGTTGTTCAGGGTTACGCTAAAAGAAAGTCCAATTGGCAATGTCAAGAAAAAGAAATCTGAGAAAGGATGTGGGTAGGTTACTTCTAGAGATTAGTAACCGCATATGCCATATACAAGGAGCAAATAACTTGGCCGGATCATAGCCTTTACCTTACAGGATAAGTTCTATAACTGATGAAAAGAACTGTCCTGCACATGGGACACTTGTTACCTGTTAACCAAGATGGAGGGAGGCCAGTAAATATATAGGTGGTTACAACTATAAATGTGGTGCATTATACAACAGGCAAAAGCTTACCATGATCCATAGACCGAAATAGACAAGGACGACAAAATGAATGCCCACATGGAGTAGTCACTGGTTCATATAACAGCTTTAAACACAGAGTGCATTCAAAATCGTCAGTGCGCTCTGGCTTGGAATGTTTCATCCTTGCAATAGAACCAGAAGATATCCTTTCCAAATCATGGAGTAAAACCTGAAGGGGAATGCTACATGGTCCCAGACATTCATGAAATAAAGCATTTAGTGATGTTAGGCAAAAGACTAGAAGAAAGGAAAAACTAAAAAAAACTTTCAAGTTCTTATGTTAAACACATATAAATCTCAATTTAATGGGACATTACAAGAAGGGAAAATGATGTACCTGAAAGGATCAACATGAAGACCTGATAAAACTGTCTCCCGCGCCTCATCATACCGTTCCAGCTACCAATATGGAAAGCATGCATTATTAGTGAGAAGCATAAATAGAGCATTCTAGAACAACAGATGCCAGTGAGCATTTACGAATAAACTACTTGAACTTTTGAGTTTTGGATTCCCAATATTCAATGTCCAAAATTTACGAAAGAAACTGCCCAATCAAGCCTAAGTGAGTGGCATGAACACTTCTATACAAAACTAAGGAAATGCATACAATCCATCTTTTACCATCTACATGTTTACAGTTAGAACATATATTCATCTCAATTTAAGTCACTCGTCTGACTTATGAAAGGATCTCCAACTAAATATAGGCACCCACTAGGCTGACCATAATCAATAAAGATTTTTAACAATTCATCTGATACATGCTTCCTAAAACACAACTTCGATTGAAACTGTCAAATAGGATGAACTGTAGAACACTACAAAACATTACCAAAATAAATGCCTTGGCCTTTTGATAATAGGCTTTGGGTGAATCACCCTGAATGCTCACAACCTTCTCTGCATCTCTCAAAGCAAGCTGAAATGTGGTTCATAAAATGTTAAAAAATTAGTAGAATACAAGACACCCCATGAAAGAAGGGACTTACTTCTGCATATACTGTGGGATCCATCCCCTTCAATGCCTCATATTCAGACAAGATAGCAGATCGATTTCTCAGTTGTTGGTTAAACCTATTACAGAGTAAATATAGTACAAGCAAATAAATATATGACTCAAAGTCCCATAATCTATAAAAGAAAGCTCTATTAAAAACAAAATATCTTTTTGCTAGATCATGTAATTTGGAAAAGACTAGAATTCATCAGAGATGCAGAATGTCATATTTGCTTTCCTGTTTCAAAATTGAAAACATGTACAGAAGACAAATGTAGAAAAAGCCACTCACTTGCAAAAGGCAGTGCTTCGATTGCTGAGGACAACAGGGTCACCGGGTTTCAACTTTTGGGCTGTGGAGTACAAGGTAATTGCCTAGGTGACAGAATAAAACTGAGTAAGAATTGAAAAGAAAATCATTAGAAAAAAATATATAGCCACAGGCCCGCGTACATGATTCGCTAGTGGTGAAAGACAATGCCAATACAAGAATGAAAGACAATTCCAATAAAGGAATGAACAGAGCATATGTGTGCATGAGAGAGAGAAACATTACATGCACCCCTAAGCTAATTCCTACAGCATTAGCTCACGGGCCAAAAACTCCTAAAAAACCTAACCATAGGGATTTGTTTGAGCCAAATTTTGCACATATGTTCTCTTGAACCCAATGAATACTCGCATAAGAGAGAGAGAGAGAGAGAGAGAGAGAGAGAGAGAGAGAGAGAGAGAGTAGAAGTACGTAGTTAACTTAAAGTAAACGTTACGTACGTAACGTACTAACTACGTACCTAATTTAACGTAACTAAACTAAACTTAACTTA